TTGCTCATGCAGAGAGGTGTAACAAGTGCTCGAGTGATGTAGCATGCCGTTCCTCTGGATCAGAATCCATTAATGTAAACTTCAAATAAAATAAACAAAACAAAACCAAACCACCAACCCCACAACCAAATAAAACAACCCACCTGCTAACTTTTACAAGTAATGACCTGGGAGCAATTTGTGTCAAACTGTTGGAGGTCAGCTTGTAACAGGCAAATTCATGAAATGGTTGCTCTGTGTCTTAAAAGGGTCTGATGTATTTCCATACCAAGCTGAAGATACTAGAAAGGCGCCAGCAGCGAATCAGAGAAGTAAAGGCAAAGCATGAATTTTTGAAGGAAGAGTTGGAAGAGACAAAGTGCAGGTTGATGATGGATCCAAATAAGTGGAAAGAAGATTGTAAGTACTTTGCAAAAACCGCAGTATAATTAGCATGTTACAAATTTTCAGCACGTGAGCAGTCCCACTGAAAAAGTTAAGCACTTGCTAAGATATGTTGTTAAAATACTCTGTGACTCTGTTCATATTTCTGTGATAATGGGATTTGCTCAGTGCTGAGCAATACTGGAAATGAGGAAAAAACCTCCTCCAAACCAACCAGAAGAGAACGTCAAAACAATGCAGAGAGTCACCGTGATGCTTGTTAATATTAAATATTTATATAACCTTTTATTATCCTTCTTTCCAAAGAAGAAAAAAAATGTTTCCGTGTTATAGCTGGGAAACTGAGGCATGAGATTTTTTCACAGAGTGAGTGCTGTGCTTAACTGGAGCCTCAAGGTAGAGTTTTGCTTTTGCTGAACAAAGTGAAAAAAATTTCTTAGGTCAAGAGAAATAAAATTGTACACTACGTTATTGGCTTCCTTGTGATAGAATAATGCTTTGCTATGAGGTGTTTCTTTTACTCACTGATTTCTCTTTTTGTCTGACAGTTGAAGTGGATCCTGATCTCGATAAGGAGTCACAGGAGTACCTGGAGGCACTGGAACAAGTGACAGAGGAACTGGAGCAGTGTGTTAATCTGTGCAAATCACATATCATGATAGTGACGTGTTTTGATATTGGAATAACAGACGCACAAGATGGAGTAAGGGAAGTGGAGGTCTGAAGAGAGGTTTTTCAAGGGACTGAAGGAAGTGAAGCTGGATCGTCCGACATGAAGAAGTAAAGAGACTGAGTAGCTGGGAAGTGAAGGAGGAAAGGTGAAGACTAAAAAGCAGCGATGAATGTTGGAAGAGAAAGAAACAGCTGAGGGATGGGAATGTTCATAAATCATTTGGTGCCTCAACGTGACCCGAACTGTACAAAGACAAAAAAGTAGGATCAAGGATTGCTTCTACCAGAGGGAAGCGAAGAAATTTAGTACAAACCAAGATGTTAATTAACAAACAAACATACAACGGAAGTGCCTTTAAAGTTGATTTGATTTTCATTTTTGTATTTGGTGCTAGAATTAAAGCCAGCAAACCTAAGCAGACCACAAAATGTATTCCTACGAAATATTTTATACTGTATAGTGTATTTATGACTGTATGTAAAAAACAAACAACATTGTAGCAAAAGCAATAAGTAAATTATGTTTTCATACCTGAACTTGCCTTCTTGTTTCATGGAAAAGCTGTTTTATGTAGCAGAATTAAAATTGTATTATAATTGTTTTCTTGGTTAGGGTTCAAGATATTTTTATGAACATTTATCTATTGAAAAGGTGTATTATGGCATTTTGAGATGATTGTTTTATCTTCAAGTTTTGTATTATTACTTTTTCAGATCAAAAAAAATGTTTGTTTTCCATTTTATATAGACATATATAGATATATATTAACTGCTTACCTACTTCCTTGGTTACTAACCTCACTTATCACAGACCTGGTCTTTTTGGAGTCATAAACTTAACGTGAGGAAGTCTACAAAGGGCACTGTGGTTTGTTTTGGTTTTCTTTTTTCCTCTTTTTACTGCAGGAATTGAGAATTATGTTTATTACCAAAACCATAAAACAAAAAAAAAAAGGAACAAAAAGTTTTTGTAAATGTTAAGTTAGGTCCATATTTTTATATAGTTTTGACTATAAATATAGCATTTGCATTCTGAACTTTTAAGACAAATAGTATATCTTTTTACAGTTTTTCTAAGGAAGGCAAACCCTCAGGATCAAGTTTATACATGCTGCATGAGATTTGTGCTTTTTTGAAGGAGGCCACTTAAGTGTGGAAACTATTGATAAACTGTTGCCAAACAAATACTTTTGAAAAGGTTTAATAGTGTATGTAATACCACATTTCATAATGAATCATATTTTCTAATCATCTTCCTTTTTATGGTTTTTTCAAATCCTTTGTACAAATATGTATTATAACAGCTTGCTTCAGTTTTTATCTGTGAATAAAAGATACATCTATTGTTACGATTGCTTCTTGCTATGTGCGTGATTTTAATGTTCAGAAGAGAGAGGATGGCCTGTGGTACGCTGTGTTAAATTCCATGTTATATTGTCTCCTTGCCCAAGAGAGATAACTGGGAACAGAGTTTTGGCATTAGTCGTCATAAACCAATCGGGAAAGAGAGGCAAAACACCAAAGGGTGAAATAAATAGTAACGATAATACTTTATATTCTCTTAGCACTTTGCAGTTGACAGAACAAAGACCTGCGGCTCACGCGCTTGTTTTCCCTGATGAGACAAAGCAATTAAAAATGGGTCTAGAAACACAAGAAATCTTTAGGAACTGGAATCAAGCACTGGGCCCCGTAGGTCCATCATAGCAAACGACTGCATTTATTTCTCTCTGACACTGCTGTGTTCGCTCCCTGGTTCGACAGTAGCTGTGCCTGGTCCTTGTCTCTCACTGGTGCTGGCCGGAGTGACTGCAGGCAGATTTGACAAAAAGCTGGTGCTTCTAATGACAAGCATTTTCCAGCTGTTTGGCCAAACGGCCTGTAATGTGTGAAATTTTCACCTCCCTCTTTATCTCTCCTTGTGTAGCCCTAACGGCATGGCATCCAAGCACCAAGTTCTCTCACTCTCACAAGAGGCCTGTGGGGCCTTTCCTCTTTCCTCTTCCTCCTGCAGCTGGAGAAGTGGGAGAGCCAGTGCAAGAGTTTGATGCTTAAATATCTTTGCGACTTAGCGTAGGTTACAAAGGACGCCCTGCTCTTATCTACCTCTCTGTGACTTGTCCCTGGAAAAGGGTGCACCCTGTTTGCTTACCAACATGCGGCACTGCGTTGGACTGTATGCAGGGGAATGTGGCATCTGGAATTTCTGGAGGATCCCCTTGCTGATATCCTTGAATACCAGATATATTTATTAAGTTGTAAATTCCTGCTATATTTACTTTCTCTGTGTGTGCAGAAAGTTACAGTTCTTCCAAAGATGGAATCAAAACCATGGAGTGATTCAGTACATTTTGGTTTTTTTTCTGAGCAAGGATCAGATAAATAAATACAAACAAAATAATAAAAGGCAGCAGCATGCTGGGAGACAAGTATTTCTTAGCAAACGGGAAAAACTCCAAACAAGAGGCCTGAAGGAGAATATACCCACGGGGAGCTCTGCACTGGGGTGTTAGGTTTTGCGCTGGTGCCATTACACTGTCCTCTGGAGATACGCAACTTAATGGTGCTGCTGCAAGGTGGGTGGACCTGTGGCGCAGCCTCTGAGCCCTGGACACAGCAGGGCTGGGCTTACAGTCTTTTCAAGGTTCCCTGTAACCCTCTTTTGAACAGAGACCAGAGTTTTTCGTTCTTTTATTTGCCAGCTGCTTCATCCTCTCCTCAGAGTTCTTCATTCTTTCTCCCCTACCCTGGCAATATTATAATCCTCTGAAATAAAAATCAAGCCACTGATCATCCACCCCCAATTTTATAAAAGTGACAATTTGTTCAAATATTCTGCTATATAGTGTTGGCTGATTGCTCTTGCATCCTTTGCTCCTTTCTCCTTGATTTCTAACTATGGCTGTGTTTGCCACAAAGTACTGAAAGAGACATTTCAGGCCTGCTTAGTTCCTTGTCAACACGGCAATAGCATGCACATGAAATGCATTTAGCCTCTGGCTTGGTGGCACAAAACAAGCCCGAGATGCTAAATAAGGTGAGGCACTGACGGATGAAATAGCAGACTTTTACCTATGCAAATTCTGTTCTTTATTAGTAGTTGTGGATAGTAAACTATCTTTCATATTTCAAGACCTCGGATCCTGTAATATTAATTTTTTTGGTTACTTTCACAGTTCCGTCCAGTTAAAATTTATACAAATATATGCTTAGTTTATGATTCAAGCCTATTTTGCAAGAAGCTTAATTATATAAGGTTACAAATGATAATTGCAAAATGAAGCTGAATGCTTTATTTCATTAATTGTCTATTGAGATTTAATGATTTAGGAGAGCTATTAAATTGCACACTTGAGTAAGTGATCTTGTTGGGTTTGTAATGGTATTAAATAAAACCTTAGAAACCCACTGGTGTTGGAGAACTGCATGAGTTACTTTTGACAGGTCTAATTCACACCAGAATTCTTTCTCCCTTGGTTGCAGATCTTCCCATGAAATCCCTCACCTCCTCCTTGCTGGGGCAACCCTTTCTAGGTCCCTTGATGGCCCAGTCTACCAAGCAACTCACATCCCACTTATTTCCCAATAACAGGAAAAAATGTATTAGCAGATGTTGGTTTTTTAAACCAATGCAATGGTGACTCTAAATAAAGTCTAAAGATTGAAGTTCAGGGGTTGGGACATAAATTCCCTTTTCTTCAAACCCCACCTGTCACCAGGTTTCACTACCCAGGATGCCAGCATTGAGCTTGCCTATGTGTGCGGGGCAGGGACAGGAGAGGTTCCCACCACCTCAATCACAAGATCAGGCATCCTTCAGGAAAAGATGAAGTATGGACTGGACCAGAAATCAAGTGAGAAAGCAGGCCTTTTATCTGGTGACCAGGGACTCAGGAAAGCGAGGAGAACCTTCCATTCTGGACATGTCCTCCAAGCTTACTTTTTCCCATCCAACAGTCATGTTCTCGTATATAAAACTACTCCTGGGAGGTAGGATTTCAACTTGTCAGAATTTGCGAGTTGGATGGATGAGTTGGAGGAGTCAGTAGCCACTCCTGTAAGCCATGCTGTTGATAACCATGTACTAAGTAGTGTACATCTATGGGGACATTGCTACATTGCTAAAAGTGTTTGCAGATGCAATTATAACAGACATAGATTCCCTATAGAGAAATCAGATGGTATGTAGGCAAAAACTCACTTAATGTATGTGTATAACCTTTTCCTTACAGTGCTTCTGTTCTAACCAGTTCCAGCTAAGGCATTTCTAGGACACTCTAACTGCGGTGTTGAAAGTACTAAATGAGAATGCAATAGAAATAAGAGATTATTTGTTCTTTTCTCAGCATGCAGAAAGTGTTTCATTTATTTCTATTTCAAGGTTTGTGTGTATTCTGTTTCTAGTTATAAACCCACGTTTTCCAGTCACTTGCATTTTATTTTTAAAGTTATGTGTGCAACATAACTCCACAGGCAGCTGTTCTATATTGTGGCTGTAGGCAGGGTTTAAGGCAAAAATGTTAGCTATAAGATGACCTCTATATCAGATGTCCAAGCTGACAGAAGTGGACACAAGTAAAAAAATGGTACCGTATTTGGGCCCCAATTCACTAGAGCACTTAGCACTTAGGCACCTGTTTAAGCAAGCAAGTAAATCTGGTTTGTATCCAGCAAAACACTCAAGTTTTGGCTTATATCCCATTGACACAAATTTTTTTTTGCTCCAGGGCTTCAGACGGTGTAAATTGCTTTAGCAGTGGTGCAGTGGAGCTCTGCTGACTTTTACCAGATGAAAATCTGGCTGAAAATATTTTACTTATCATTGGTATTTGGGAGAAAGGAAAGAACAGTTCTGTTGATGTGCAAGAGTATCACGAGCGCAAATTAGAAAGCAGAAACCGCCTCCCAGGCTGCTCCTGTATGTAGCATCTCAGGGCTTCATGCAGAATTTGATTTGCAAAAGAGATGTTTGTGCAATACACAGAATAAGACATAACTCTTGACAGTGTAGATGTTCAGAGAGATTTACTATCAGGCCTGCAGGGGAACTGC